AGAGAGAGAGAGAGAGAAAGAAGAAAGAGAGAGAGAGAACGCTGTACATAGATTCCATAATTTGATTTCTCCAACCCAGATCTTTCTTGACCAAGTAGTTTGATCCCCAGCTATGACACCACTATAATTTGGAGAGTTGGGCCTTGCAAGGCAGGGGTGGAGAACCACTGGCCCTCCAGTTGTTGTTGTACAACTTACATCATTATCCCTGACAGTTGGCCATGAAGGGCCTTGATTAAGTAGCCCTGCTGGCAGGTGAAAAAATTGGCCACTTTTTCTCACTTCACATGGGCCAGCTGCCCAACTGGAAGTAGTGACTTGATTGTTGTAAACTCCACAGTTACAATACATGTCCAATGAGTTCAGCCACACATAAAGCAGCAAGACACCCCAGAAGCCTCCCCAATAATACAGAGGCATATATAGTGTCCTTCTGTTTATCATGGGTACCCAACAATAGGCCGTGGAACGGCCAGTGCGCTGTGCCAGGCCTAAGGCACTGTGTAGCTCAATATTTTGGGTGGTTCTAGATGTTGAAGCTTCCCCAACTGCTACTGATTTCTCATTTATTAGTCTTCAGCTCCTGGTTTGATAGGATTGCTCCCTCTGCTGTTGCCAAAGATATAGCCTTATCCTCTCCTCACTTTTCCCAGTCAAAAGCACAGAGAGATCAGTGGCGGAGTTTGGGCTCTGAAATTTCAGCAGTGCCCTGTGCTATGCTAAAATTTGGCACCCCTCCTTTGCCTCTCACGCTCCATTCTACATCTTTGTTGTGGCACCCCCTGCAGCACTGGCGCCAAGTGTGGCAGAGGCAGTCCTGCTACCCTAAAACCACCTCTGCAGAGATGCATTACACCCCAGGTTCCTGTTGGGAGCTGGTTTTTGTTGTGGAAAATAATGTCTGATCACTGCTTCTCTCTGGTTCTTTAATCAGATCCTTTTCCGCTGATGTCCATAGCACAGTCCCCACTGACTTCAAATGAGCAGAAAATTTCCTCTGTTTATACAGAACTAAACCTCGTTCATTATTTTTGCATGCACCATGTTACGTAGAAAACAGCAATTTGCCAGTTAGTGGGTCCTTGAGGTACAGTGGCATAGTTTTCAGCTGCATTTTTCTCCTTCTGATTTTCATAGGTCAAGATAAACAGCAAAGGTCTAGTCTATTCTGTCGTCCTTCTCCTGGGATCTGTAGCTCTTACTGTAAGTGTGTATTGTATTAGTCATTCTCTGCATCCAGTCAGTTTCATGTGGTACAGCTAAATAATTTGAATGTGATGCCAGAAGCCAGGTTCTCCAGAGAACTTCACAATTCGTGTATTTTTAGATGCCAAAGCTTCAATGAAATCCATGAAATCTCAAGAGGTATATTTCCTTTATATTTTAGGTAACACTAAAGAAAGCTGTGAATCAATCCTGACTAGAGCAACATGCTGTCATGTTTCAAGGCTGTTATTGAGTTAAATAAATCCTAATTGTAGTTAGTCAATTAAATTTGCAGACATGGTTTAATTTAAGATAAATAATGGTTCTGAAGTGATGATGGTGATGATATACTTCCTTTGGGTTTTATCCAACATTGGGGCTTCATGCAGAATCTGTATCATGGGCTGGGTATTGACCAAGGTCCACGCCACAACAGGTGACCCCCCCCCCCAAGCCCTATCTCTCTGCATATCCTCCTCCTCTGCCACCGCTTTTGTACCCTTTTATGCGAGTGAGCATTGGACAAGATGCTCCCCTTCTGCTCCCATCCTGCTGTTTGTGTACTGCAAAGCTTCACTCAGAAACCCCTGACATTCTCTCATCCGCTACTGGTGTGTGTGGGGGTAAAAATCCTCATGACATCAGAATGCATGGATGCAAGTTTCCTTGTGCAGTGATTGAAATGCAAATTTAGAAAGGTCCTTCGAGACTGAAGCGTTTGTTTCCTCCAATACTTGTTTAACTCATGCATCATATTCTTGCAGGTTGGCGGGATCCATATAAACAAATGGAAACTTGACAAGAAACTGGGCATCTACGTTCTCGTCCTTTACGCCGTTTTCTTGTGCTTCTCCATACTGATAGAGTTTAACGTCTTCACTTTTGTCAACTTTCCAATGTGCCGAGAAGATGACTGAAAGAAACCGCCCTCGGATGTCATCTATATCGTTGTGCTATAAATGACAGGAGACATTTTACATTTCTACCTGCTTCTTATCCAAAATCTCAGTGTCTTTCCTGCTTCATCACCTTACAGGCACTTTTCCTCTACTTGGAAGGAAAGCAGATGCTTCTTTGAATAACAAGCTCAAGGCAACCAAAGCATTTCCCTCTTGCTCCTCTTTGCTGTGGATCTCAAGCAAAACTTGCAAAAGCCCAGTGGTATCCTGTTTCAGGCTCATTTAGGCAGTCAACCATCCATCAACATTCATATGAAGCTTGTTGCGGGCAGGGGGTGGGGGACATACCTTCCTTTGGCTTTCCAAATAAGAGGAAAGAGAAAGGGTCGAGATTTTATCTTGGGTCCTTGGAAGCATCTTGGCCATGGCCTCTAATGGACTTACTATGGCATGCACTACTAAGGACCTCCTATTTGCCCCCCCCCCTTTCAAGTGCTCTGTTTATAGAGAACTTTCACTGACGCTGAGGAGTCATTGGTGGTGTTCGGTAGTACTTTGTCACCCTGTTTTTACTTTTTTTTATTTTTAAAAAGAAAGGTGTGAAAGATACAGCAACAGTAAGAGAAGGAAATGGATAATATACAGCACTACTGATGATGTACTCTGAAAATCTTGGTACCTAAAATGGGGCTGTCCATACTTGAAAATAGCAACAACACATTGTCCTGCAATCAGTGAGGAACAATTGAAAATATCAAGCTTGACTATACATGGAATATTAAGCTTACAAGTCAAAATGTTGTGCCAGCACCAGTAATCCCTAATTTTAGAGGAAAACTGAAAACTTAAATCCTGGGTGCTCAGTCACTAATTGTGAAGGTAATCATCTGAAGAAGAAGAAGAAAAAAGTCAGTCTAATCCACATGCCTTCCAGGTCTTCATAGGTGCACTGTGGATTTGGAGGTCTTTAACATATTCGTAATAGATGTAGCTGCTCTAAAAGTTGTTGCACAACCCCTGGTTTGTTGTTGTTCTGCTGTGGGGGCTTGTCTCCACTGTCCTGAAGGTGGACTGAAATTTCAGCTGCGTCTCTTTAAGTGCCCAGTGGAAATGGCCGTGCAATCGCTTTGCCAATATGCTCAAGCCTTTGTTTTCAAACAGGCTCGTGTTTTAGCAAAAGGGTTTTGGGAGGGGGGACTGGGCAGTAGGATCACGGTAAAAGAGCTGTTACCCTGCTTTGAAAAACTGGGACCTGAGCACACAGTGAAATAATTGTGGGGCACTGCATGGTGTGCGCAGGTATACATTATTATTCATGCCCTGCACATTTGAACCCGCTTTTGGGCACAGCCTGCGCCTGCTTTGTTAGCACTGTGATCATTATCGGCTAAGATTGGCGAGACTAATTGATGCCCTGTATCTGTTGAGTTAGGCAAGCAGCACCACAGTCCCAGTCCAGTGAAAAAACTGAGAAACATTGGTGGAGGTGTGTGATATCAATTGAGAACCCTTAAATCCAAGCACATGGGCAGTTTCAAGGAGGAAAGCAAGGGTCCCAGCTATTTACCTGCTTGATTGCTTTGCTGCCATCTACTGCTCCGCACTTTGCAGACTAAATTCTCTCTCACCAAGGCTGCATCTGCACCATACCTTTTAAGCACTCTTATGCCACTTTAACAGCATGACTTTCCCCCTCCCAATTTTTTTTTTTTTTGGGGGGGGGAACTGTAGCTTGTTCAGAGTCTTGAGAATTGTGATGAGGCCCCTATTCTTCACAAAGGGTTACAATTCCCACAGTTCCCTGGGCAGTGAGATGCAGTGGCGGAGGAAGGCGGGTGCAGTGGGGGCGGGCCACCCCAGGTGTCACCACTGGGGGGGAGTGACAAAATGTCGGGCGGCACTCACCGCAGGGCCTGCAGTGCTCCCAAGCCATGCATCGCTCCTGGGAGAGACGCGGTGGCTTGGGCACGCGCAGGCTCCGCTCTGCCCAAACTTTCCCCCCTCTGCCCCCCCCCAGCTGTAGGGCGGCTGAGTGGAAGGAGGCAGGCAGACCGTGGTGTGCCCCACCCCTATGCGTGGCTCACCCCGCCCCTGGGCACGCCACCCCAGGCACCCAAAGGCTTCCTCTGCCGCTGGTGAGATGAACTGTTAAACTACCCTGGGAATTGTAGCTCTATGAAGGGAACCTAGGGCTTATAACAGCACTCAGCACCCTTAAAAAAAGAGTTCCCAGAATTCTTTGGGGGGAAAGTATGACTGTTTAAAGTAGTACAATAGTGCTTTCAATGTATGCTGCCAATATGGCCCAAGTGCACTCTGAGAATTTATATTAGCTCAATCTGCATCCAAGAGGCGTTGTTTGTTTGTTTGTTTGTTTGTTTGTTTGTTTGTTTTGCAAATCATGACTGACTTGGCAGTGGAGTTAAGAATCATAGCCCCCTAGAACCTCAACCTGGTTTCCATTTCTCACCAGCATAGATCACAAATAAAATAAGTGTAAGGTTGTTGGGTTTTTGTTTTTCATGGGGGGGGGATGTGACCAAGAGTAGAATACCTCTTTCAGCCTGTATTTGCTCTTCTTGTATAAGCAAGGAGATGCACACCTCCAGCATGTTGAGGTGCACCACTTGTACCCACATCTAGAGCTTGTGTCTAGATGGTGTAAGGGAAACGCAAAAGGCCCCACTTTAGACCTTTAAGGAGAAGCACAAAACACGAAGCGCAAGCCGCTTATACATAGGAATGTCGGAAGCTGCCTTATACTGAGCCAGGCCATTGCTCCATCTAGCTTAGTGTTGTCTACACCAGGCATAGGCAAACTCGGCCCTCCAGATGTTTTGGAACTACAACTCCCATGATCCCTAACTAACAGGACCAGTGATCAGGGATGATGGGAGTTGTAGTCCCAAAACATCTGGAGGGCCGAGTTTGCCTGTGCCTGGTCTACACTGACTGGCAGCAGCTCTCCAGGATTTCAGACAGCGATCTCTCCCAGCTCTTCCCAGAGCTGCCAGGGGGTTTGAACCTGGGACCTTATGCATGTAAGGTAGCAGTGCTCTGCTACTGAGCCACAGCACCTCCTGATTACATCTGGGGTGGTTCACCTTGGCTACATGGAATGCTGAAACACTGATCCCACCAAGATTCGCCCCCAAAACATTTAATATTTTAATTACCATTCCTTGACTCCAAAATAACGAAAAGTTACGCTGGTAAATGCAGTTTCTACAGAAGCACAAGTTATCTTTATAAATAGCTTTTTTATTTTTTTTAATGTACATTACTAAATAAAATATATTGGATAGCTAAAAGATTTTGTGAATTAAAGAAAAAAAATTTAAATATATTTTTGCATGCTCAGCTATTTGGCAGAATTCCTTCACTAATTGTATCAGTGACAGAATACTATATACAGTACCCCATGGCAGGAGGCAAGCAGGGCTTCTCACAAGGGACTTTTAAACTGCTTGAATTATTACACACAGATCTTTGGTGGTGCCACTAACCCTCCTGCTGTCTATCATTCTCACTGTTCACAACTCAAGTCTTTTTGCACTGTAAAGGTCCACACAACAACCCCCACCCCCACTAAATAGGATAATCTTTTCCCTTTCACCCATCCATTTTAGCCCATGCTGGCCCAATTCACAATGACCTTAGAGGAACTTCTGGAAAGGAAGGAAAGAAAAAATTAGGCATTAAAAGCCTGCCCTCAAATTTCAGTGTACAACTCCATGGGAAAGTAGAATAGTGTGTTCCACATAGAGCCTTTCTGCTCACAGGAAGCATTTTGAAATGCATCAAGATTGCAATGCACATTTAAATCCCCCCCCCCTTCCATTTCCCTCTCTTACAGGCTAGTTCTCCTGGGCGTGTTTCATCACCTGGTGTACATCAGGTGTGAGTGAACCATCAGGGATAGAACTTCCATAATGCTTCTCCTTAGACACAAGATTTCTCAAGGCAATTGAATCTCACAGGGCTGTTTCACACATTACACAGAGGCAAGCCTGGGTTTGCCAAAGTGTTGTACACTCAGCAGAGTCCTGGCCCTCTGCTGAGCGTATGATAGAAAACATATTTGCATACATGTAGCTTGTGTAGTATCCTAAATGTGTTTCCATGCATTCACAGGTGATTTTCAGTGGGTCCCCTAAAAATTTGTGAGCTGGCTCAGCATCCAAGCATTCAGTTATCAGGTTACATGCATGCATGTCTGAATCAGCCCACATCCATACAAGCAGCAGGAAGAAGCTTAAAGGCCCTGCTAGTGCCGCTTGTGGAAAAGTCTGCTGTAGGCCGTCTCCTGCACGCATGAATCACTCAAATTGCACAGAACTGCTGATCCCTTTCAATGCAAATATGTGCACAGGAAATTCATTATACTGTACTGGGAAGTGTGCTGTAAATAGGAATTATTATTTTCAAACAGATCACTTCATTTTTAATTGGTATGAGGAATTCATTGCTCATTTTGAACCTTAGTTTTATGCAAAGGGAGAAACGTACTACTTAATCTTCTTTTGTCTTTCATGATGAATATCAGTATTGACCTAAGCTGGCAAGCGAATCCCAAGAATCAGCTTCAGCTGCCCCTAGTGCATCAGAAAAGTTGAAACAGCCTGTACCCTATACTTGGCACATGAGGGTGTGTGTTTAGAGAGATGCCATACTCTGCCCCGTATACCTGGGGGATATGGGTACAGACAAATGCTTGTGTGTCCTTTTCTGCCTCTAGAACAGGGTTTCCCAAACTTGGGTCTCCAGCTGTTTTTGGACTACAGTTCCCATCATCCCTGGCCGCTGGTCCTGCTAGCTAGGGATGATGGGAGTTGTAGTCCAAAAACAGCTGGAGACCCAAATTTAGGAAACTCTGCTCTAGAGCCAACGAACAACCCTTTACTTGCTGCTTAAGGTAGCATCTTGCCGTCCTCTGCCCTTGTGCTCCATCCCAATGGGACCATGGCAAAAAATAAGTGGAAGAGCAACACTGATTCTGCAATGATTGCCACTGGGATGGTGCTCTTGTGCTAGAGCAAGGGAACAAGATGTCCCCGCAAGCTGACAGTATGCTCATGCTGCTGCCTAACTGTGGGCGCTTATCGGATGAGGCTTTTAAGTCTCTGATTGGATTAGCCCGTCCAAAGGATACCAATAGGATAAGGAAGGTTTGCTTATATGTTAGGTAGGCCTGATCTGTATAGGACAACCTTGAAGCATTCAGGTGTCTTTGAGTTATGGCACCAGAGGGAACATCTGTATAATATATAAGCCAGAGTATATGCTAAAAGCACTTTCTTCCTATTCTAGGAATGCCATAATCTAAGGTAAGACCCAGAAGTAAAGACAAATGATTCAGGAAGAGGCATTATGTTATTGTACTGTTCCCTCATCACCCCAGAAAAGGAATGGTCTATATATGCCTAATAATTTCCTTCCCTTTTGCCCAAGAGACAAAAACTCCAGCCATGGTCTCATTTCATGGCAGACTGGAAATTGCCTGCACTTTAAAGGAGTCCGGATTTGGATTCCAAAACCCCACAACCCCGAAATCCTGAATTTTGTTCAGTTTGTTATTTTTATTGCTGGTTATTTTTCAACAGAATGATACTTATACTCTCACCCTGATAAAAGATTTATTCTATGTGGTATTTGATTATACTGCATTATGTACACACACACAAATACATGATCTGACAAAAATGCATATTGGATGGCAATGGTTATTTATGTTGAAGAGTCCCATAATGTAATCCATATGCAAAACCCATAGAATTAAAGCCATGCAAACAAAGTGAGTCTCCTATCTCCCAAGATTTATTACATTCTTTTTGGAGGGGGAGGGGGGAGAATTTCTTAAGTTGGTCTCAAACTTGTGCCTTGAATTTGCTCCTGAAACAGATTCACTCGTGTGGTCTGAAGAGAGAATACAACTACTAATGTATTTTGGGGTGCAGGGCAGGGGGAATTCCAAACGTTACTGGAATTCCAGTAATGATGCGTTTAAGCTGTGTTTATCGGGGGAAGCTGAGTAAGTTTTAGATTGACAGTATGAAATGTATTGCACGGCTCCTGAAGTGGAGGAAAGAAAAGGCTCTCTACTCTGATACCAAAGTGGCCAATAGATTAAACATGAAAATATTTCTTTATTTGGGAATGTATGCTGCAAAAAAGAGAGAGAGTACAAGATAGATGAATTTTGCCATAAAGCACTGAATTCCCCAAAAGCTGATACTGTGTTAGTTTTATTATGTTAGCTGCCCTGAGCCCTGCTTCAGCCAGGAAGGGCGGGGTACAAATAAAATATTATTATTATTATTCACAAACCAGCAGTACACAGGTGTCTTATACACTATGAGCCACTGAACTAGCAAATGTATATGACGATTCGCACGACTGCTACCCCAGTACACTCCCACAATCCCTGACACTTTGTGAGCAGTCCCAGGAAGTTGTACTGGTACTGTACAGTTTCTCAGTGCAGCCAGCAACTATTAGTAGTAGCAGTGACAATATACAAAATGGTTGTGTGGCAAAAGGAAGGGTATGCTTATCTGTGCAGCATTCAAAAGGCATTTTTAGGCTTCATGTTCTAGAATCTAGGAACATGACTGTAGCTTTGAGTGTTTGTTTCACAGCTCGTCAAAGCACACAGCCCTTCCAGCTTTATTTATTTATTTTGGAGGGGGAGTTATGAACAGGAGGGGGGTGGAAAGGGGCTTGCATATTCTTAGGAAGGAAGGGAAGTGTTGCCCTCACTCTGAATTGGCTTTTATGACATCATAATGTCACCACATTTGATTGGCTCTGTGGCATCATGCAGTGCAGCCCTTAGCTGGCCAGGTCATGCTTCCAAGTAGATGGAGACTAAATAAAATAATATAAAAGACAACAGAGAAGCAGACTGCAGAAACTAGCAGTTGCCCTCAAGCAGCAAATAAGTTGAGAAAGGAGGTGGTTTTGATAACATATTGGTTCCCACTCACCCCAAAAAGTCTCTTTTCATGGGCCAACCTTTTTGATATGCAAGTACTTGAATGTTTAGTTAAATGTTGTGGTTTGAGACCTACTTAGGAAGCTAACTATGATCCTAAACTCTTTATTTAGTAGTAAATCCTATAAATTGAATTGAGATTTACAACACAACCCTATGCATGCTTTATTCTAAAGTAACTTCAATGGGGTTTAATCCCTGGTAAGTGGGCTTAGAACTTCAGCTCAGAATCCATGCCAGCGTACTTAGGATAGCAGCCTGTTACTTGCTTTTGTCACAATTTATATAGCCTTTCTATATCAGACTATATACTGCTCTTTCTCCACTTCTGAACTGATCCATCTTACCCTGTTTTTACTCTGTCTTAAATGAAAAACGAGTCCTGTGCAGGTCTGTGAGTCATACTAAATATTCCATGGGACAGAAGCAAGTCCCATTATCTTCAATAGAGCTTACTTCCTGGCCCAATAAGCACGTTTAGGATTACAGTTGATTAAATATGAAACTGCTGCTACATTCACTGGGGTGTGAGATGCTTATAGGACTGAGTTCCTCTAAAAGATCTTTGATAGCTAAATGCTTGATAAACCACAGAGGACAGGAAAACTGGATGCAAAGCAGTTCCTTGCTGTACCTTTCTCGGAGACTTGAAAGTGGTTTAAAAGAGGGATCATGGCTTGCAGTGTGTCTTCTGACTTCTGCGCCCAGTAAGCAGGTTTTGCCTCATTTGGGGTTTGTTTTTTGTTCTTTAAAAGTCGTGCAAAACTTGCTTATTTATTTATTTGGGGGTTTATATATCCCGCCTTTCATACTAACCTCAAGGCAGCTAACTCCTCCAAAAATCATACACCATACATTGACCAGCAGTGAAAGTGGGACACAAGAAATTTGTGTGTGCAATAAGGGGCGGTAAAGCAGTGCTCTCTCTCAAACCACTTTCAATTCTCATTCAAAAACTATTGCGTTTCCAGCTTTCTGCAGCTCTCTCAAAAGAGCACGGCAGAGTAGAATGTAGTATGGCTGTTGGGTTTTCGTTTTTTGCAATGTCCCTGATCCTGCAGTGGGAATCTGCACTTCAAACCTTACTAAGAGGGAGCACTACTAACTGAATAAATGCTGCAGGACCAGGGTTTGGTTTTGTGGTTCTGGGTTGTTTGGGTGGTTTTTTCTTTTTTCCTTTTTAATGGTATGCAAGAGCTAGTTTTGTGTTTATTTTTATGACTTTGTGATGATCCGAACTCTGATGTTGGGTTGCAAGTCAGCCTGGAAGACTGCCTACTGAGTCTTCCCTTTGGATCAGCATTTTATCCTTCGTGTCGTTCACTCTTAATCATCATTGTGCCAAGTTTATTTTCTTTTTATATGATTTCTTACATCCACTGCAGATACAACAAAATAAGTAGCTAGTTTTTCAACAGTGGATTTTTGTTGTTGTTTGGTCAATTTTAAAACATAAAGACACAGGAAAGGGTTCCAAATTATAATTATTTTCCTTAGGTCGTTTTTATACTGAAAAGTGTACAGAAAGTTGCATTCACCTCACCAAATACTGTTGTGAATGTAGAAATTGGCGCTCCAGCTCTCTCTCTTTCAGTTTCCACGACCTTCTGTCCTTTTCCATCTAAAGGCTCTTTCTTATGATTTAAATGTTAAAGATTAGGTTGTTCCAACAGAACTTTTGTTTAGGTCATTGTTAACATTGCCTAAGCGCTGAAGTTAATGCAGGAAATTAAAACTCCAATGTAATTTTAAAGCAAATTATGAATAACGTTTGTACCTGTGTGAAACCAAAGATTTTTGCCATTAAAATTGCAGCACCTTAAAAGTTCAAAATTGTATAGTAGAAGGCCCCTTTGCTCCTTGGTATTCAAACCATGCCAAGCTGTATGATTCCCCTTTTCAGTTAGGGCAAACTAGTGTTTGGTAGGGTTTAGAAATCTGCTCTTCTGTTATCCTATACCAGTAGTTTGCTATTTGTGCCATTTACTTGAACAGAGCAAGCAACTCCTGTCTAATGAACTAGAAAACCATTGCCCTGCAAATAGAGGACCATGCCAAAACCTTCCCTAAAAGGGCTGATTAGATCACTCTTTAGTGTTTATATCAGGCTTTCTCAACCTAGGACCCTCCTCACGCTTTTGGACCACAACTCCCATCATCACAACTCCAATATCTGAGGGGCACCAGGTTGGAGAAAGACTGGTTTAGATGCTGTCACATTCATGGTTTCTTCTGCAGATACAAAGCAGTGGTTTTCAATCACAATACTATCAGGGAATCCTTTCTGCATTAACTTTTCTGGTAAAAAAAAAACACACAACAAAGTCCAGTGCATTGAGCGTTCTGGGGGTAGGGGAGTGTTTTGATGTGTATATATTGCTGTGTTGTGACTGAATGAAGTGCAACACCCAAGACTCCCATGCAGATGCACATTAAAGGGCAAGAAGGTGGATGTGATGGACAAACTCGTTCAGGAAAACATAGCTGCCGTTTTTTATCTTCCCTGATAATATTCCAAAGGAGCCCATGGTTTCTTGGAGCACTGTCAGAAAACCACTCCCCTAATGAGTAGAACCTGATTCACCACCAAATTTGGCAAGGCCTCTGGGTCATTGGTCTTGCAAAGGACACTTTTATGTGCACTACCTTTTATTTTATTTTTGTACTTTGCATGTTCTCCATGCTGCTGTCCTGAAATTCAAAGCACTTTCTGAAAGAAAATTGATTGTAACCGAGAGCTACTGTCATTTTCCTAACTCCTTTAATGAAAATTGCTAGCATGTTGTTTCTGTCTGTCTGTCTGTTGGCTTGTTTGTTCTGACGCCCACAGAAAGAATGTAGAACTCCTAAGGTCTGTCAACTCAAGATGCTTGAAAGGTGGATAGCTTCTGATATTCAGTAACCTTGAATTGTGGTGAAATCTGAAAGCATCAGAAGCTGACATGGCCAGACAGGCAAGGTCTTCAAATGAGACTATGCCCATCACCAGTCTGTGGATGATATCCAATATTAAGCATACTTGGAGTAAATTCAGTGGTTTCAGTGGCCCTACTCTGAGTATGACTGAATACACATCACACTCCAGCGCCGGCCCAAGACATTTTGGCGCCTGAGGCAAACCACAAAATGGCTTCCACTCCCTGCCAGGGAAGAAGGGGTGAGCAAGGATCTGCATCAGGAACAAGGGGAGAATAAAAATCTACATTGGGATCTGCTGCCCCTGTGGATCCTGCCACCTGACGCCGGTCATCTCACCTTGCCTCATGGGTGGGCCGGCCCTGTCACACTCACTTTTCATTGCTACAAGATTATGGCCTTTATATTCATCAACTGTATGTGTTCCCCCCCCTTTTTTTAAAGCAAAAAGCAAAACCGTATATAGTTCTTCAGAAAGCAGCAGTTTTGTTCCAAGTGGCTAAAACTCTTCAGCAAAGCTCTCCCTTTGTTGAGTGAGATGATTCAGGGACATTTCCGAGCACAGAACTAACTGCTGATCTGTGTAGTTTTCTTTTTCCCTTCCATGTGCAACAGGTGTGTGCAGTGTGCATCCCACAATGGGGTATGGTGGTACCTCGTCTGAAAAAAAAATGAGATGCTTTTTATAGTGCTGCTCAGAGAATGGAAAGTGACAACTTTGTAAACTGTAAATTACACAGAATCTATTTATCATGTTATTTATTTTTTCAATGACTGTGACCTTATGCACTGTGAATGCTTTTGTGATATGGGGGTTCTTTGTACAGATCTGTATGTCATTATAAAGAAAATTCCAAACGTGATAATTTGTTACATAATATTGGCATGACCTTTGATTATTTTTATCGTGAAAAGGAGGGGGAAAACAATAGTTAATATGAAATGAAGATTTATATTTAAAATAAACCTAGCAGTCAGTATTGTAAGGCACTATATATATATATGTATAACAACACATGTACACTGTCAATAAAATATATAAGGATAACAAGAGAGTGGCAGTGATGTTTTCCCCAGGAAAAGTGTGTCCAGGCATCAGGAATGAACACTCTCCTATTTAGGGCTGCATTCAAGTTGTAACTTGTTCCTTATATGTGCTCTAAATTGTGTTTCTCGGATTCCTACAAAAGCTGGAAATAATTTTGAAGACAGCTGCAAGACTTAAAGGGTTACATGGAAAATATTCCTATATGCAAAGCTGTTTTCAACATGAAGAACAAGAAATTGGCAGCAGCCTTTCCTGCTACTTGCCACCTCACCCTTTTAGCTGGAGGTGTTGCGATTGAACATAGACCTTCTGCATTCAGAGCACATGCTCTACCACTGAGCTGTGCCCCCCTCCCCATTACAATCTAGAGCTGAGGTTCCCAGCGTGGCACTCTTGTGCCATCTCAACACCCTCTGACACCCAGCTTGTTGCATTTAAATGCAAGAACTGGGCATTTCAGTAAGAAGAAAGCAAACTGTCGTTACTTTTGTTTAATTGCTCACCACATCCAGAAATAAAGATGCTCGTCTTTGCATGAGATCAGAGTGAGGGAAAGACGGGGAGCAGAGGAAGAGGTGACTACTGCCCCCTACCCTGTGCCACCAAACTTCCTGGGAAAGCACAACTTTGACATGCAGGGCTGAGAAGCAACAAAGCTGCCTTCTCTGTTGATGCTGGAGCTGAAAGGAGCCCCAACAGAAATGCAAGGGATCTGGAGAGATGGTCCATAGATTCTTAAACAGGCTGGATTGTATGACATAATAAGCCACTAGGTCAGCTGAGCAAAATATAAATTCAGGACATTCTTCACACAGGTGTGTGTGTGTGTGTGTCAGAGAAGGGAGAGGGGGAGTGAGAGATCCTGCCTTTTATTTCTGCTTGGGGAAAGGTTAGCATTTGTGTGTACACTGATCATTAAAGGCTCTGTATTGAGAGACAGCCCCGTTCCAATGTGCAAAATCACTCAGCCAACAGTTTGACTCAGCAGGCTTCACTGGCCAGTTATGTAATGCGGGTTTGTGCTATAACGGGCTTGTAATCTGCAGATTAACAGCACAGGAGCCCACAACAGCTCATCCAGCGTCCTTATGCAGCCTGCAGATGATATATAGCAGCTCACAGACAGAGGGGTGGGGTGGGGAAGTATTACGATTATGCAATCCACACATCAGTTGAGGGCACTTTAGTAAAAGCCAGTCTTGTCCTATCTTTTCCCTTTGGCACTTGTTAAAGTTCATGAACGTTACTGAAACTCGTCATTTGGAAAGAGATTGTGCAAAAATGTTTTTTAAAATAGATATGCTGTGCATGGTGGGTAAAAAAATGCCCACCATTGCACTGTGCAAGTGAAGAATTAACTAGTTTTCTCTACTTCTCAAGCTAGTTTACGGATAATCTTAAAACAATTGAAGCAATAAACAGTAGCCCTGAAAAATCACATCAAATTAGAAAATAAAAGCCAATAGACACAGAATAAAAAACAATACAGATGGTATTTAAAGCCAGGGGAGGGGAGATAAAAACAAAAACAAAAAACCTTTGCCGGGTGCCAAAGAGCGGATGCTGTCAGTTCGTTCAAAGTCTGATGAATGTACAAATTGCTTGTGTGTGTTGTACACATTCACCAGGCGACACATATTAAACCCAGCTCACCTGTATGCACACAGATACACGCACGGACACCATTTTAGACCTCATGATTACAGAGAAAAATTGAGGTAAGTGACAGGCGGCTTGTTAAATTGCGAGAGGCAAGAGAAACTGAATAAAACTCTTGCTAGGTTTTTTTTATTAGCAATAAGACGAGGTGCAGCCCCTCTTCTGAAGCCTGATGGAATCAGTTGGAAGTGTGCAAGGCAAGCAAATCGATGCAAATCTGCCTTGGTTGTGATCCAAACTTGCACGCAACTAGTTTCATGTATACAAAGGGACCGTGTGGTTGCACTTCTTGAACAGCAGCTCCTGCCATTCATGTCATATGTCCAAACCCCTTCTGAAAGTGGGAGGGAAGAGCTGGCTGTGCCATTAAGCTTCAGCTGCCCTCCTGAATGTTGCTGAGATGGAAAGCAGAACCAGATCAGAGTCTGGTGATGCAGTCCCCCTGAAATGCCACCAGAGTGCTGGAGCCTCTCTCTGATTGTAAACCAAGTCAGCCACAGAAGGGGGAGCAACAGCATTTCAGGAGGGAGAACAAAAGGAGCAGTTTTTGAGGGAGTTAGGGCTTGATTTAAGGGGAGAGATAGGGAGTAGGATGGGATTTGACTGAGGGAGAACTGGTTCTGAGTTGTTAAACATCCACACTGAGGAAACTATCCATAGCAAGAGGACAGAGCCCCGAAGCTTGGATAGGGGGACCGTGTTGAGGGCCTTGGGAAGGTAGGATGCATGTGGCGCTGTGGTCTAAGCTACTGAGCCTCTTGGGCTTGCCAATCAGAAGGTCGGTGGTTCGAATCCGATCAAAGGTGGTGAACTCCTGTTGCTCTGTCCTAGCTTCTGCCAACCTAGCAGTTCGAAAGCATGCCAGTGTGAGCAGATAAATAGGTACCGCTGCGGCGGGAAGGTAAATGGTGTTTCCATGCGCTCTGGAATTGCATGCACCAGAGGCAGTTGAGCCATGCTGGCCACATGACCTGGAAACCTATCTGTGGACACATGCAGGTTCCCTTGGCCTGAAACAAGATGAGTGCCACACCCCATAGTCACCTTTAACTGGACTTAACCATACAGGGGTCCTTTACCTTTACCTTTTACCTCTGGGAAAGGTATACAGACAGGAGTGTTCTAGGAGGATTGTGACTGAACTGGGAGAGGTTGAACCTGTGGATTTACAGGCTACCTGGGTCTCAGTATAGCCAGGAGAGGAGAGTTCTTCTAGGTACAGAAGACTCCTGAATCAGTAGCAAGGGGTGAGGTGATGCCCTGGGTCTGTTATACCATTTGGAATACCTCAGATGTGGGATTGCTTAAAGATTGTGTAACTGAGGGAAAGTGCCCCTCACTCGTGAACCAAGCTATTAATCGGTGAAGGAAGCTGTATGGTCTTAAAAGTATTTAACTGTATTTAACTAAGTAACAGAAACTGAAGTATAACAACTGATTTTGAGTAAAGAGAGGTAAAGAGAAGCTGTGACTGTAACACTGTGTTTAAGCCTGAGTCATCTTATAGTTAGTTAAAGTAAATAAGTTAACTTCTACCTGAAAGACTGCATTTCCTGACCCACTTTGTTTCATAATCCCCCCTTTTTTTGTTTAATAAGCTTTTCCTGTTTGTTTGAACATTTTCTGCCTGAGACTATAATCATTTAAGTTTTCTCTCACACAAGTCCCCCACTAGACATCCCATGGTAAATTTGTAAAACCTCATGTTCACTGGTGCACATTGAGGTGTGTGCACTACAGTGGTACCTCGGGTTACATACACTTCAGGTTACAGACTCCACTAACCCAGAAATAATACCTTGGGTTAAGAACTTTGCTTCAGGATGAGAACAGAAATCATGCGGCGGCGGCACAGTGGCAACAAGAGGCCCCATTAGCTAAAGTGGTGCTTCAGGTTAAGAACAGTTTCAGGTTAAGATCAGACCTCCAGAACGAATTAAGTTCTTAACCCGAGGTACCACTGTATATTGAATAGGGGGCAGTTAGCGGGGTGAGTCCGCCGCATTATTAATTGGTGATAAGCGGTTGGATCTGCTACAATTGCCTCCTGGCTGTCCCCTTAATGCTCATGAAGACATCTACATTAGTTCTTTACATCCAGGCCCTCGTGTATTCAGAGCAGGACAGGGCTTTTCTTGCCACAGAATTCAAATTCTGTTTGTGTGTGTGTGCTGCTCAGTGTCTCATACTCAGGCTGCGGAGGTGGGAGAAATTTGGCTCAGTCCACATTTTAAATCAAGCATACCCAATTTCCACTTCCCCAAACCATACACAAACTGAAACCCAGATATCCTTTGAAATTCACACTTCTTCAAATTTTGTGATGCCCTTTGCCAGT